CTCTCTCTCTCTCTCTCTCTCTCTCTCTCTCTCTCTCTCTCTCTCTAAAAGCAGCTTAATTCTATCATCTTACAGTTGGACGGAAGTAATTACATTTATGACACAAATCCTGCTACTCACAGCAAAATACTGTGTGTGCGCGTGTGTTAGAGTATGTAGATGCATGCTCATCACCCAGTGTCTGTGTGCTTGTACTTACATATATGTGTGTGTGTGTGTGTGTGTGTGTGTGTGTGTGTGTGTGTGTGCGCGTGTGTGTGTGCGTGTGTGTGTGCGTGTGTGTGTGTGTGTGTGTGTGTGTGCCGTTCATTCCCTGATAACACAGCCCAACACCACTAAGCTATTTATAATACTATTTATTTCGTATTACGTTTGGACTCGGGGGTCGCAGTGTGCGTACACCAGTGTGTTCAATCGCCCTCAAACCTTGTTGATCCCCAGTGGAAGATGAACCTGGACCCTGCCTGCTTACACTGAACATGAATGGCTAACATCACACGCGTACTTTCATGTGGAATGTATTAATCTAGAGAAAGCAATGCGTGACTAAACACGGACAAATCTAAGCATGTCTTTGGAGCCTAAGTATGGCGGATTATGGATTCATTGTAACTGAAATAGGAACGTCAGAGGCTGGTTTAACTTTGAGGTTGCCTCTGTTTTGAGAGTGTTGTTGGCAACTGCAAACATGTTGGCTTGAAGAGTCTTCTGATTAGAGTGTGAATAGAAGGAATAATACATCAAACACAATCCTGGACAATTAATGTGGAGTTTATTCATGCTATTGGTGGCCTCGGCTCAAATGTTACTGGCAGCTCTAATCCGCGGCCCTCACAGTTTTCAAACAGCGGATCATCTATTTAGAATACACTCTCGGCCCCAGAATAGACTATTTCTTTTTTTTTTTGCATATGGCATGTCTCTTAAAATACATTTTCTTCGAAGATTGAAGAGCCTGCTGTGCTCTTTGGCCAAGCATCTAATAACGTTCTGACTGCGTCCTGCTTCAGGCTGATGGCCACAGTCCTGGTAAGCTTCTGGAAGTTATTAAGCCGGTCACCAGTAGTCATAACAAACACAGACGCTTCCATGCGGATGTATTACATGTTATAATGAAGTTAATAACACCCTGTAATACCCTGGGACATATATGAAAAAGCTCAGCAGACCCTGTTAACCTTGATTTATTTATTTTTGATCAAGATGGGGAGAAGAAAAGATCTCGTTACAGAGAAGAATGCTGTGGAGGCTTTGCTACTCTAGATACTAGGCTTGAATTTGATTACATCTCCTTCACTTTTGACATGCTGTGGGAGGAAAAGTGACTATTTCCCTGATGGTACATAGAAACCCTGCTCTTCCTGTTCTTTTGGCGAACAAGAAGTTAAATCGCAAAGTAGCCAGAGTTTAGAAATGACATCCCCGCTCTGTGTGGGACGGATCTAGACTTGATTCATAGATGCATACTGGGATGGATGGTGCTGTTTTTGTGGCAGAACAACATGACTTACAGTTGGTGCTACTAACAAAAAAACCTCTAATCTCATATCAGTTAACTCTACCAAAGGAGCTCCAGAATCAGACGAGTCTCGGGTTTGAGTTCATGTAGATCCATCACACAGCACCTGTATTATGTTTACCTCTCATTATGTATCTGAATGTCACGCACACCGTGCTTATGGATGGGAGTGTCACATGTCACGGCCCCTCGGCCGTCTCCTCTCCTAGCAGCAGACTTACATTATGTATGTGCATACATTCTCTGCACGGTATTACTCTTTATGTGTGTGTGGGTGTGTTTGGTTAATGGTTGTTTAAATAGATGTGGAAGTCACATCAGCCCTCTCATCTCCTACGCTTTGAGAAAAACACACGCACACACACACACACACAGAGGAGCTGTGTGTATAGAGAATCATTAGCTAAAGTGATGCAGGTTTAGCTATCATGAATCACAGTGGCATCATATCGACAAGCCAGAGCCAGCAAGGCATCCAAAGTGTGTGTGTGTGTGTGTGTGTGTGTGTGTGTGTGTGTGTGTGTAAGGATTACCAGTATTTTGAGCTGGCAGCAAGCCCAGCCTTTCTCCCTTCCTCCCCATTTCTCTCTGTCTCCCTCTCTGCCACCGTGGTATTCCCCTAAGGAAACTTAATTTGCTCTCTTCCTGTCGTTGCTCCTCCCCTCCCCCCTTTTTCTCCCCATCTTGCCCACCATCAGTGACTCCCCTGTTTGAGGTGTCACACAGTGACAAACCAAATTGGAAGCACACATTACCTCCGCTCCCTCTTTTGTCTTACAATCTGCAATCCTCACAAGAGGTGGAAGCCTCACAGTGGGCCTGAGGCTGAACCTGATCCAACTTCAGCACTCGGCATGTCATTAGCTTTGGCTGGGTCTCTGCAGCAGGATGGCATTAATCGCTAGATAGTCTGCGTAAAGCAATGTTTTTTACACCACTTGTGGACTTTACGTACTGTGAAACTGCTGCTTCTTTACCTTAAATACCTCCACCATTGCTTCTTCTCATCCGTCCTCCTCCACATCATCCCTTCTGCTGGATCCCTCCCTCCCTCAGTAATATCTCTCACAGTATACTTGTGATGATGGATGGAGAACCAGCAACAGTGAAGCAGACCTCACATCTATCACAAACTCAACGACGGCATAGATAACTGCATCACTGTATTTTTTTTCTCTGGCTCTGCTCTCCAGAGTTCAGCCATGTCGCGGTCTTTCTGGCTCTGAGCCACTGTCTCCACAGGCTTTTTAAACCAATCAGAGCAAAGCACAGCAAGGTAAACCTGTTTGATCAGACCTGGAGTAAAAAGGCACTCGTCTGTCTACATGCAGAACAGGTGGTTTGTCTTCTGTTTGTAGCAGTATATTTGATAGCAGTAACACATTCATGGACATTTTAGTTGAATTATAATTATGTTCCATGAAAAATGGATAATAATCGTCATTTTGATGATCTCAAAAACCCAAAACCATACCATACCAAGTCCCCTGTAGCAGCAGCCAAAGAAAGCAACCTGACAGAGGCATATCTCTTACCCTTTGTCTTCGTCTCTGTCTTCTTTCCTGTGTCTCTCTCTGTGTCCAGCAGCTCCATCGACTCCTGTGGAACTCGGCCCCACCCTCGGCCTGAAAAAGTCCAGCTCCTTGGAGAGTCTCCAGACGGCCATGTCAGAGGTTAACAGAAAGAACGAACTCCTCCCCTTCCATCGACCTCGCCCAAATATGGTCAGAGGAAGAGGCTGCAACGAGAGCTTCCGAGCAGCAATCGATAAGTCCTACGATGGGCCGCCTGAAGAAGATGAAGGTAAGGGATGGAGGGTGTCAGTCCGTTAAGATGGGGACGTGTGTGTGTGTGTGTGTGTGTGTGTGTGTGTGTGTGTGTGTGTGTG